GAACCAATTGGCTATAATGACAGCCAAACTCCGGTAGGAGATGGCACCCTAAAAAAATAAGTATACATAGTCCATTAAATGAATTTGTAACTTTGGGCAGACGACTGACAAGACCAACATCCACTATTATTCTTAATATAACTAACATTTTCGTAAATGTACCCCGACGCTAATGTAAGAATGTTAATATCTTTACACTTATCTCGCAAAGACACTCTGGAGTCTAGATTGTAAATAATCCTAATAGTACGTTTTGCTTGGATAAAGATTCTATTAATATCGACTGCGAAGATATATAAACAAATAATCTTTTTTTACTCGGTATAACAATATTTGATGTAATTTCTAAGGATAAAAACACTCACTGTATGTAATCAACGAAAGGTAGGTACAACAACAAAAGGAATAATTTCAATGTACATAATAAACTTTCAGTATAACAAACATTAGATACAACAATTAGATGACATAATTAACAAATGGTATAAGTATTACCAGTATAATGTATTAAACAATATAACACAATATTTCGTTTTACAAATACCTAGTTGAAGCGCCCTGTGTTGATAAGAAGTTTCTTTTTTTTTCATTAAATGTACAATCGCAAAATATAATTGTTTTTGTAACTTTAAGTGCTTTTTGCGTTATAAAATATATTTATTAAAACTTTAAGAACAATATTTCATTGCATATACTATCCCAACCTAAACCCAAAGGAGGAGCTCGAACCAACTAGCAAATGCCAAGAAATTCGGTTCTGGCATCTCCTCCGTGGCCGAACGGTTACCATACTGGACTACCACGCAGAGGTTCGATTCCCGGGCCAAGAGAAATATTTGTATGGCCTACATATATTTCTCTCGTGAGTTTTGACGTAATTAGTTGTTCCCTATGTGTGTGTCCATGGCACCCACGATAAAGGGTTTCCATATTCGGGGGGCTAGAGTCTGTGCGTTATTATTATTATATTCACACTCTATATACACGTATACTCGAGACTTGTCACCACATTCTTTAACATATGGTTTATTTATTAAACATGTTGTAAAGGGAGCCTGGAGATCTGTAATACAGATCTAGTTACCTAATACGGACTCCAGGTTTCCAGTTAAAGTAGTTTGTTAATTTTTAATTTATGCTTTATAAAATCTTCCTTTTGTGACAGTGAATAAATATCTTTATTATTCACACTTTATTATATGTATTATTTTAATTAATAACTTTATTTATACAAAGAAAAGAAAAAACAAACATCTGAAATGGGTGTGTGACTCAGCTAAAGTGGACAAAGCATATTGCCCTCGTATCTATATTATTTTGCCATAGCACCTTAATTAAAAATAAACATTAAAAAAACATTAAACTGCTTAAAAATTGTTAAATTATTGTGAAAAAGCAATAAAATTTAATCAGTCAATAAAAATAATTTAAACTTAAAAAAATGAAAATTTCTATTCTATTTTTAAGTTTCTGGCTTCTCTTGTAGAATTTTGCCAATGTCATGGGAGTTACACTTTCGTTTTTTAGATGTTTAATTAATGAACACTGCTCTTTAGTCTATATAATATTTAAATAAATAAGTTTTATAATTTAAGTTTCTTACTATTCATAAAATCAGCTATTAATTCTAAGAGGGTATTTGTAAAAACATATAACAGAAACTTGAAATGTACGGGGCGAGGAATAGAAGGTGGAAGACTATCATAAATAGAACACGTTCTGGCAGGGCAGCTGAAAAATCTGAGATTCACAAATTGAGGTTTTCTAAGTTTTGCCAGATGGACCGGGGTGCAGGCATGACCAATTCGAAATCGGCATACTGTAGACGTAACAGTCTTACTGAATCCTTTGTGGATAAAGAACCAATGCTTTTTGGGGATACTTGTTTGGATATCGGCGAAATATCTGCCCTTAGTGAGTTTACTTTTGCTCCACCAAACCGCTATGCCAGCTAAGCCATGGAATGTGTTGTTGTTACATATCTCTGTTTTTTTTTAGTCAAAATCTTTAGGAACGCCGGATGTCCCTAAGATTTGTAATGGGTTAAAATATAACAAGTAGTTGAGAAAAAACTATATTCTTTTGTGTTATAGAGGATTTATGTAATTTTCTATAAGTATTAATTGATTGTTTGTAATTTATTTATTACGCATGTCAAATAAAGCCATTTTTTTCGGTTTTTCGCATGAATATTGACAATCGATTAAATGCCTCTTTTACAAGTAAATAATTCAGGCGTTTCTCATCACAACATTGAAGCCGCACCTTTGGAAATTTTAGGTAGAAAAGGTACGTACTCTACCCAATCTCTATAGCCCTAAGTCATGTCAACGAGGGCTGATGAACACTTTCTTACAATCTAAGAATACATCAAATAATTAATACACTGTCTGGGAAAGCCAAGAGACGACAGCTACCTTGCCCAACGTATCAGCGTAGCCATATAAAGGGGGAACGTTAGCTGCCTCTTGGGCATCTTGCCGCGGGGACCCAATTTTATTCATCCTATTACTTTTACTTTCCAGTACTTAAGCTTTTATTGTCCCTTACCTATATATTTTCACTTATTATGTAATAAGTTAATATATTATTTTCACGAACGTCGTCAACATCGGAGCTGAAGCGGCTGACTTAATTGAAATTGCCTGTGAGCGTAACAAAATACAACTTCGTCTTAAGAAATTACAGATGAGTATAAAAGGTATACTATTAACTTATTGTATAATGCGTACATTTTCTAAAACACCAAAATTATATCATCAAGAGGCATGTATTTTCACAGGTTAAATATAAAATCCATTTAATTATCAAAACCGATTTTATTTCATTATAAGAAAGTATATATTTCTTTATTAATTGACAGGAAGCCATCATAATCGTAGATATTATTGTTCAATTCGATTTTTAAATAAATTATTGGTTTTATAGATCTACGTAATTAGAGGACCTCCATCGTCGCGTGCACACCGGTTTTCATAGTACCGCCATCTCTGAGGTCCCGGGTTTGATCACCGGCCGAGTAAAGGTGTTTGTGATCGTTTTTTTCCGACTTCCGTAACGCTTTAGTCACTTTCTTTGGTATCTGCGTAAGGTGTGCGATGTTGTCAAAATTTTAAATATGTTTTTGACATTGAAAATTCAAAATTGTCTGTCGTCGTAGATTTGTAGAGTCTGCTCTCAGTGAATTCTGTCGAAATACGTCGGTCAATTTTTTAGTAAAAAAAGCGAGTGTTCCTCGACTTGACATTGGCATTTAAAAGAAAAAGAAGTAGAATTATTTAATGTTTTTTTATGACCCAGGTGTGTCGCTTATATATAGATAGGTATCCACGACAGTTGCAGTTCTACTCAGAGCTTTTAAATCGCAAAGATACTGCCACTGCGCCCGTCATCCTGAGACATAAGTTGACAAGTCCCATGTGCCTGTGAATTCACCAGCAAACTCATCTTTCAAAACGGTAACGCAGTAATGCTTAAATTGTTTAAGGTAAAGAAAAACAAGTAATTTTAAAGTTTATTTTAATAAATAGTTTAATTACATCTCTAATTGACACTTTGACAGTTATATCGCTTTTCGATAGCTAACTAATGTTATAATTGCCACAACGGAATATCAGTGGGGTATTAACTAGGTGTTTATGGTATTACATAAATTATATTTTATGCTTTTATATTATTACGAAATAAAATTATATACGCGCGACAAAAGGGCAATAATGTAATAATTTATATTTTCCAATTTTACAGTTTAATAGGTGTGTAATTTTTGTCCTAATAATGTTGTTTTCTTAGGCATTACGTTTTATTGCAGTATAATTACTTCTGAAATTATTATCCTTTTCACTTCCCCATTCTGGCTTCCCAGTTGCCATTTTTTAGATTCTATTTATCTGTACAAATAAGCACTGTTTTAGAAATTGTGCGTCGTAATTATTGTGCGACGTGATTTTAAAAATTGTGCGACGTAATTACGTCGTTAAGTATTAGTGAGACAAGAACCGACGACAATTAATTACGTTAAATTTTTAATACGTCAACCGGGGCAACAGTGACCTATTTATTGTGTTATAGATATTTACGTATTGTGTTGTAGATATTTACGTTACTTCAAACTGTGCCCTCATCCTGTTCATTGCCTTAAAACCGAATGTCATTGTTATCAAACTGATGATGAGCTTTATGCTCATCAAAATAGATATGCTTTTAAAATATAAGCATTTAATTAAATAAGAAGTGTTAGCAGTATATATCTAATACGTATAGGTTCGAATTAACATACGGCCTATAATTCAGTCGTATTTTTTTTTCAATTTTGTAACTTATCGACGAAATTTTGTATCCGTGACATAATTTGCTTTGGGATAGAAACGAGACAATTACGCGTGTATATCGTGGATTAACAAGCGTAGAGGCTACGGGTACAGTGTGTGTTTTGAGGCGTTGAACTTGGCAAAGTTTTCATTAATAAGTAAAGTTGTGCAAGGCGCGGTCGCGGCCGCAATCACAAAGTTTTCACATCAAGCTCGGCATCACCAGCGCCGGCTGCTCGCCGCGCATGCGTGCCGGCTCTGCACCGTCGCTTGTTTTGCTCCTCGCCATCGCACCGCCGTTTATTTACAGCTACAGCGCAACCTAAGGGCTAATTCCATCCAAGATACTCCCATTGATAAGAAAGGCTCGAACGCCGACAGCGCCGTTCGGCCGGTGCCGGTGTCGGAGCGCCCGCGACGCGTTCCGTCCGAGAGGAACTCGGCAATTTTGATTAGGTGCAGAGCAGAAAATCCGAACAGAGGAAAACTCTCATGTAATTGCCGCAAAAACCGTTGAAAAAACACGCACGACCATCTCTGCGGAGGCGCGGGCGCGGTGTGAGGGCGCGGGGCGTGCGGGGCGCGGGGGGGCGGGGCCTCGCAGCCGGGATTGGCAGATTGGCCTCCGAGCTGGGGGCGGAGCGCCCCGCCCCGGCGTCGGCCCCGCGCGCTCACTCCGCGCCAGTGTCCGACAGACTGCCGAGCGCGCCGGGCCTCCCGCTTCCCCGCGCCTCGCTCGGCCTCGCCGCGTTCCGTGATCGAACCTTTAGCAAACCCCGAGTCAAAGACCGTCGCGAGTGCATTATGACACTAGTGAGCTAGCGGGCCGCTGTGACGGTGTCAAATAATTAATGTGTATGTGTGCACGTGCAAGTGTGGTGTGTTAGGTTGGGCCCGTGACGAAAAACGTTCGTGGTGGCCAGCGGAGCTTTGCACCCGGGCTCGGGCCGAGCTTTCATGGCTCAGCCTAGGGTATGTACACAGTACCACATTCACCCCACACTTGACAGTGATAGGCCCGGCATAACTGCAGGGATAGGTGACATATCTGAATTAGTTAACAATGACATTAATAGGATTGAAAATATAGATGATAAGAGTGATACTGGTGATGGAGATGTCAAAACAAATGAATTTGAAAGTGGAGATAAGGAAAATGTAGAGTCTCGTGTCGTAAGTAATGTAAAAGCGAAGTAAATCACAATTGTCGCCGACCGTGGGAGAGACGGCGAGGCGCGCGCTATACATTACCGTGTCCCTACACCAGGGAGCTGTTATAACAAGTCAAACGCGCGCCGAATACGTAATGTTGTTTTAGAATGCGTCGAATAACCACCGACGCATTACAGACAGTAATGAAAACGAAATGAATGCATTAGATGCATAAAAAGTAAGCGATAACGTACTCGCGGTGATAGACGCGTTTAACGCATAATAAAAAACATATTCAAGATCTGCGCGGCGGTGATATTGAACTATGGCCTAGGAAATAAATATGAAAATTGAGTCTGGGAAGACGTCATCGGTGAATTCATGAATGCGTCTGCATATTTTGAACACCTGATGGAATAAACGGTGATTGTAGGAACGTTTGTAACAATAAATGGGATAAAATAGAGTTCCGCAGGGGGCATTGTCGCCGCTGCTCTCTTGCGGCCCGGTGTGGGACAGAGCCAAATCTGTTCAACTACAAGCGGCTTTAAACGCACGGTTGGACACAAAAGAGCCTATCTCGGAAACCAACAATAAAATTCAATTGACAATGAGAAGAAAAAAAAACTTTTTTTGGCACCACAAAGATACCCTAACGGAATTTTCGGGGACAACTTTCTAAAGATTTAGGGTTGTATTGTTTTTGTGTTAGAAATATAAAAACGTTTTAATCCTTCATTGTGCGCATTCTGTTGTTTAAAAAGACAAAATTGTAATGTTACCTGAGACAAAGAACTGTGTCGTATTTATGATACGCAACATAGAAACTGTAGATTGAAATTTAAAATAGCTGTGCGTGTAAAAAAAACTGAATCAACTTAAGAGAATGCAATGTCTGGATTATTGATTTTAATGATGCATTCGACAAAGCGTATACTGCTTTTGACGAGGACTAATAAATCTTTAATTAGAGATAAGAACAACCTTGGCGACGTTTTAAACTGGATAGAAATACGTCTAATGAAATGTTAATGGTGACAAATAAGTTCAAATTGCAAATAAATGTGATATCAATAAAATTATCACAGCGTATGAAAATAATCTGGGACATTGATTTCGTTTAAGTAATCAGCAACGCCCGAATTAACAGTAAAAAGTAAACACGTAGATAATATGGCACCAGCAAATAGATATATACGATATGATATATTTTGATAGTGTATCTGGTGTAACACGGGCATAGATAGTAATTACTAATAGCCTGATAGTCAGTTCGTTAGACTAAACGTAATTCTAGATAGAAAACAAATTTAGATGTTACAATGTTCGCGCCCGACGGTACACGATATTAATGAAATTTGGTGATAATATTATAAACAACGCTATAAAACATGATTATGACAAAGTTATTACTCTAGGGATTCTGATAAGGAAGCATTTATTAATTTGACATAAAGTGTTTTGATATAAACCTTCTTTGCTGACGATTATGTCATAGAAAAACAATAAAAATTCTCACACTCGCGGTCGTGGTCACATAATGACATTCATTGTATAATATTTTAAGTATCATAAATCCATATTTTGAAGTACCAAGTTCTTAGGTCTATTTTAATACAATAAAAAGATAAATTATAAATACAAATCTTCAATCTTCTTATAATAAGTTATAATAATCAATTATTGTAGCTTAATAGTTTATTTATTTCTTTTTTTTTAAGTAAATCTACGTTTCGGTATCTTTATATGTCCTGTGGTCAAGACTGAGATGGTAAAGTTATCAAACAGTTATGTCTAATATCAATGCAAAGCCATTCTGAACTATAGTAACAAGTTATTAATTTACAAGCGTATTTTTAATGTAATTGAGAACATTCTAGTTTGTTATAATTATTAATACAAAGATTTTCGAACACAGAAAATATTCCTTCGATCTTTGTATTAATAATTATAACAAACTAGTCGAGTAATTTTACAAAAAATAATTGAATATCAATTCAATTAGAGAACATTCTAATTTATGCAAAATATTATATACATATTATAACAATATTTTTTCCCTTCCACTAAGAGAAATTTATGAATTAAACGGTATTGAGAAATGAAATAATTTAAAATTTCAATGTATTGAGTTGCATTTACATAGAAATTCAATTAAAAGTGATCACGAAGAAGAATAGGGAGGCTGAAACCGCAAACGGTGAGAACTGTAGATTAAATATGTTGGTAGACATCTGTGTAAGGCATAAAATCCATGAATACAATGGGATTTTAGGTATTAAACAAATAGATAACGTAACGTTGGTTGGTGTAAATGTATAAACAGATTTCATCGCTTAGGACGCAATAAATAAGTGCAAACAGTTACTTGTGTGAATAGATTTAAAAATAAACGGTATAAGGCTTGTAAAATGTTCATATACAAATTATAACTAGTTAAGTAGTTTTACAATTTCGACGCACTGAAGAAATTTTACACTATGATTACATAATGAGAAAAAGATACGTTAACGGAGCTTAAAGTGTTAAAAATAACAATAAAATATAATATTATTTATATTAAAAGTGTTAATATCAAAAGTGACTGATAAAACAGCGATGCAATAAAATATTATTCAATATTTTGATTTTCCAAATGTTACATATACCTAACGTAAAAATCAGTATCAAAGATTGAAAATCTGGGGTATAAAAATACAAAAAACGTAAAACAAAATAAATAGAATTATATAATCATAATTTGTTGCCCTTTACTGTGAGTGTCTTACTAAATTGTAAAATTGTATCCCAAAGGACTTTATCTCCTTTAACACATTAGAAATAAAAACAAAAATCGGTTATAATTATGTCGCCCTATTCTAAAAATCTTATTATTTTATGAAAGTAACAGTGAATTTCATAATAAAGATTTAGAATAATAGAAAAGTGATCAGGTTCAATTCGTAATGAAAAAGGAAACTGACGTGAAATAACTAACATTCAATTGTGATTGATTTTGTGACACGGCGCATTTATTTGGCGACGGCTGAATATTTTTCAGATAGCTGTTTTTACTTTGAAGTAAAAACGTTAGAATAATAATGAAAAATTGTTTTGTTTTGTATAAAAAGAAATAAATGTTCAATTACATGCGTAAAAAATAAATCTAGACAGCTGTGACCATGGTCTCTGTAAAAGGAACGAAGCATTGGTTTATTTGAAAAAAAGAAGAAACATGTACGATTTAGACCCCAAAAAGAATAGTTAAAAAATAGTTTTTAATTTTATACGATTAGAACATATTTAAATCGTCAACAATAATACGAAATAAATTCGAGTTCTTGAATTCTTACACGAATTACAAAACAATTTAAAATTCTATTTCTCGTTTGCTACCGCACGTTAAGTCGAGTATTTTTTAAAATGAAATCCGGAAATTTACCGAAACCAAAATTATATTTGCAGAAGACTCGTACGCGACAATGTCGCTAGTAAATTTTATGAGTTGTCTGATAAGCGATATCGACAGCTAATAGAGGCATAATCGCGATACAGCAGTGGCCGAAATTAACAGATAACACGTGTACGGACATGGTGTGTTGAGTGCTCACAAAATTGTCATTTGACATGTGGCAATAAAGGTATTTAGATGGCCACAAAATAAATGATTAAAACTCAATTTTCTCTCACTACTGCATAGTTTTCAATAATAACAAATTTACGTTCATACATAAAGAGTCCATGAAAAGAATGATAAAAGACATTTGAGAATAATTTTAGGAAAAAATAACTTTTGAATTGGAAAACTTTTAGATATTGACATGCAGAAGTACTACCTCAAATAAAGTCAATGTTGACATAAATGTATGTAACGCTATCTAATCCATTTTAATGAAAAAAAAAACTACTATAAATCATTTAAATTTTTATTGAATTGATATTCAATTATTTTTATGTGAAATTACTGCACTAGTTTGTTATTATTATTAATACAAAGATCGAACACTCAGAAAAAATCCTTCTATCCGGCCGGATGCGAATGGACGTTTTCTAGCATACCGTGTCAGACGCTATACCAACTAAGCCACGGAACGAACCAGCGGACCTCACGAATTTTCCTACGTGCTTGCGTCGTATTTGTATTTGGTTTTTCAACGACTTTTTAGCCGTAGCGCCATCTAAGGGCCATATATTTATAAATAATTTTTAACTATTCTCCCTACCAAGGTGTCATAAGTGCCTCTTCAAATATTATCTGTAAATTAAAATATTAAGCAATACATTGCGTTTGGTTTGCATTAATATTAGACATAACTGGTTAATGACTTTACGATTGTAGTCCGCCGTGACCACAGGACCTGAAAAGGGCACGAAACGTTGGTTTGTTTGACAAAACAAGTACCTAAAGGAATATATGTAGATCTGGAAAAAAATATTTCATTTCTCTATGTGTAACAGTCGCAAAAACCTAAGATCTCGGTATTAAGCTATAATAATTGTAGTTTTAATTATTAAGCTATAATAACCAACAATTATAGCTTGTTAAGCTGTAATAATCAATTACTATAGCTAATACTATAAAAATGTCACATTACGACAATTAATTTTTGCAAAATTTCTTTTAACTTTTACAATTTTAAGTTTTTATTGATAAATCTCTTAAAAACTTATTAATTTGAGCTGTAGGTAGTTTTTTTAATAATCGGCCTAAGATCAGGCAAAATGCCAGGATAAAAAAATGCGACGTACCAGCAACTTTTCTCAGTAAGAGCACATATATCAAAGTTTGTTAGCGATAGCAGAAGTAGAGTTTAAAATAATTAAACGTTAAAATGCGTTGG